GCCATAAAAAAGAACAAAATCATGAATTTTGCAGCAACCTGGATGGGAACTAGAGTCTATAATACTGAGTGATCTCTCACAGAAACAAAGATCTGAGTATCACATGTTTTCACTCATATAGTGGACCTTGATCATCCAACGCACTACCATAAGAAAATGACTGACAGTGGTGGGAAACTATGGGGGGAGGTGAAGGGGGATGGGACTAATGGTAGTAAACATTTGTCTGGGGACGGGGGGACACCTGTTATCAACAAGGGGGCCTAAATGAAGCATATTTGTATACCTAACCCTTAACTGTACCCCACAATATCATAATAAAAAATATTGATTTAAAAAAAAATAAGAATGAAATTAGAGAAGAACAGCTGTGGCAATGCCTGGCACCTAGTAGATGGTCAGAGAAAAAAAAAAAAAAAGAAGGTGAAAAAGGGCCAGGCATGGTGGCTCACACCTGTAATCCCTGTAAGCATTTTGGGAGGCTGAGGTGGGAGGATGGCTTGAGGTTGGGAGTTCAAGACCAGCCTGGGAAAAATAACAAGACCCCCATCTTTCTAATCAAGAAATTAACCAGGCATGGTGGCACATGCCTGTAGTTCCAGCTACTTGGGAGGCCGAGGCAGAAGGATCGCCTAAGCCCAGGAGGTCATGCCACTGCACTCCAGTCTTCGTGACAGAGTCAGACCCTGTCTCTTAAAAAAAAGAAAGGCCAGGCTCAGCAGCTCAGCCTATAATCCCAGCAATTTGCAAGGTGGAGGCTAGTGGTTTGCCTGAGCCTGGCAAGACCTTGTCTCTACAATAGATAGAAAATTAGCAGGGCATGGTAGTGTGTGCCTGCAGTTCCAGCTACTTGAAAGGCTGAGGTGAAAGGATCTCTGGAGCCCAGCAGGTCGACAATGCTGGGGTGGCTGTGAGTGTGTCACTGCACTCCAGCCCGGGCGACGGAGTGAGACTTCAACTCAAAAGAAAGAAAGAAAGAAAAAAAGTGACATTCGGTACTGGGTAGGTGAGATGCAGAGCATCCTGCCTGCTGTCCATGGTGCTTAGAACAGAGCTGCCTTCTTGGACAGCAAGTGGACAGTGCAGTGAGAGCCTTCGCATGCTTGCATCTTTGTTTTAGTAATTTTACTTTTGGAAACTCATCCCGAGGAAACCATCTGGCGTACAGAGAAAACTTCTCATGGAGAGATGATGATGATGATAATGATTTTTTGAGTTGGCGTCTCACTCTGTCGTCCAGGCTGGAGTGCAGTGGCATACTCATGGCCACCCCAGCATCGGCTTCCTGGACTCCAGCAATCCTTTTACCTCAGTCTTCCAAGTAGCTGGAATTACAGGCACGTGCTCCATGCCCGGCTAACTCTTGATTTATTGTAGAGACAAGGTCTTGTCAAGTTGCCTGGGCTGGTCTTGAACCCATGGGCTCAGGCAATCCACTCACCTTGGCCTCCCAAAGTGCTGAGATTACAGGCTGAGCCACTGAGCCCGGCCGAGTATTTCTAATAACCAAAAAATGAGAACAACTCTCAGAGTCAGCCATGGGAGTTGGTGAGACAGATGAGGGTATGTTCATGGGGTAACTGGAGTATTATACAGCGATCAAAAAGCATGCTTTTGGCAGGAGAAAATGCTTATGCTATAATTTAAGTAAAAGGGAAAAAACCAACACACAGCAAGATTCAAATTCTATTTTCAGTATGTTTGCAATTATGTAAAATGGAAAAAAAAAAAAAACCCAAGATCTATGCACAAAAAAAAAATTGGAAGAAAATACACCAAAGTGTTTATAGTAGTTATCTTGCGGAAGCAGAACTATGGTCGATATTTTTAAACATTTTCTCCTTTTCTGGGTTCTCCAGTGTTCTGAAATGGATGTGTATACATTCTTTTTAAAAGGGAAAGCGGCTGAGAAACTAAAAATATAGCACTTCCTCCCAGAAGTACAGCTCTTGCCAATGCATCTTTTCTCTCCTGTCCCCTCTGAGGGATTCTGTGGGCTTTAAAGAGTGACACTCGAGGACTACCTGGAAGGACACGCTCGCACCTGCCCTGGGGAGGGCAGCTACTCACCCAGGACCAACGTGGGCCAGCTGGAGATGCGGGCCTTCAGGCCTTGGTAGAAGATCTGATGTAAAAACATGATGGTTTCGCTGAAAGAGAAGGCATAGGGTTAGCGCTGGCCTGGGGACTTCCTGTTCCGCCAGAGATGATCTTCCCTCGAACTTCCTGTGGGACTCTAGCAGCAAAACCTCTTCTCAAGTGAGACCTATATGAAAACCCCATCAGCAGGATGGATGGTCTGATTTGGAGGCCTGGTGCAAAATAAATGTGAGCTCCTTGAATTATTAAGGGGTTGGGCGTGGTGGCTCACGCCTATAAATTCAGCATTTTGGGAGGCCGAGGTAGGAGGATCACTTGAGTCCAGGAGTTTGAGACCAGTCTAAGCAACACAGCAAGACCTCAGTCCTACAGAAAATAAAAAATATTAGCTGGGCATGGTGGTGCACGCCTGTAGTCCCAGTTCCTTGGGAGGCTGAGGTGGAAGGATGACCTGAGCTCAGGAGGTTGAGGCTGCAATGAGTCATGATCGAGCCACTGCATTCCAGCATGGGCGACAGAGTGAGATTCTGACTATAAATAAAAGTAAAAAAAGTAACAAATAAAATGGAGGCTTTATCAACTATATTTTATAATTCTAGATTATAATGTTCCTGATATGCTGCTACACAACCCTGTGCAGTAGTGGAATATAAGAAAGTTCATTCTCTTCCTCATAAATCCTGAAGAGTTGTTTATTGGAGCTGCCTGGGAATGGCTCCCCTAAGTCTTGTGGTGGCAGTGTACAAGGTTATCTAGAAGGATCTGGACACATGTCAAGATCTTATATATGGCTCCCCCAAGAATCCCTGAGGGTCCCCTAACCCCTGTGTTACCCACTCATATTAGATATTCTTCCCTCTGTGCCTGTGGGTTAGTCTCTTGGCTATTGAGCTTTTTGAAGGGTCTTAACATGTAGAACACCAAAGTTCTTAAAATTGGGATGCTTATCCCCTCAACAAACTAGTTTGGGGGCCAGAAACCAGCCTTGGCAAGGGTCATCAATGTGATGCCACACCTGGAGGGACCTTTCTCTTGGGACTTTGTTTTTGTAGAGATGGGGTCTCCCTTTGTTGCCCAGGTTGGTCTTGAACGCCTGGGCTCAAGTGATCCTCCTGCCTCAGTCTCCCAAAGTGCTGGGATTACAGGCATCAGGCACCATGCCTGGCCTTCTCTTGGGACTTCAGAGAGATGACAGACAATTTATAACAGGATCCACACTCAAAAATGAGAACTCAAAAGTTTGCTCTACTTAGATTTGTTTTTGTAAGTTCCCACTGGTTTCAGTATTTGTAAGATTTCCTTTCTCTCGGTGTATTCTGTGGAGCAAAAGAGTGGCTAGCTTTGCTTTTCAGCCAGGAAGGGCTGTGCTCTCTCTCTTCCTCTCCTTCTTTCCCCCCCAACCTTCCCCTCTTTTCCCTCCCTCCCCCCTTCTTTCTTGCAATCTCTTCCTCTTTCCCCTGCCCCTCCCTCCTTCCCTTCCCCCTTCCTTTCTTGCAGCTTTCCTGTCTTTGCTCTCATGCCCTCTTTCTCCCTCCCTGCTGTCTCTCTGCAGAGCAGACAGTATGGGACATGTCAGATCCCTCTGGGGTCAGGAGCCCAAGCCTCACAGAGCTCCTCTGTCCACTGGGCTCAGGCCCCGCCCCCTACAGCATTCTTTGCTGGAAGTTTCCATACTCATCAGGCATACCCCCCCAACCCCTGCTCTGCTCCAGTGCTGAGACAGTGAGATGGGGGTGAGGTGGGTGCCCTCAGGGCACAGCCTGCTGGGAGAAGGGACAACAGCCCAAGGTCAAAAATGTCAGGGGCCTCAAACAGCCAAAGCACTGGAAAAGCACAGAGACAGGAGGAGCAGAGAGCACCCTCCCTCATCCAGGGCGGGGGTGGAGAGCAACC